TACTGCCAAGTGTTGGCAGGGATGTGGGATGCAGTCAGGGAGTACTTAGTTCAATAAAAAACACACACAAAAAAACATAAACCACATGACCAGCAGTTTCATTCCTAGGTACAAATCCCAAAGAAATTGCCACGTCAATCCCTAGGGGAACATGCATGGGGATTTTGTAGCATTATTTGAGGTGCAAAGGCCAGACTCTGTCTCTCATTGGATGGACAAAATATAGTGGCTACACTTGGCTACATGGCTGAGTGCAAAAGGTAAGACAGAAAAGGAGATACAAATTAGGTAAATTAAAATTATTTGCACACACAAACATATACCTACTTTGTAAGAATGAGACAAAGGTACACATGAAACATAAACAGTAACCATCTAGGATGGAGGGAAAGGGCTAATGGGATAAAAGGAAGTGAATGAAAGAATAAATAAAATAAGAGAGGGCCTTGCCCAGATCAATCACATTAATGTGTCTTGAACCAGGACTAGGGGTTAATTCACCCTCTGCCCCTGAGGATCTCGAAACAAATAAAAAGCAACTCACTTTTAAAATTTTAAGTCCTGGCCCAGAGCGAGGATCCCCGCCTCCCTTCTTACATATCCCACCTTTAGTTTGATTGAAGAATTCAGGTGCATATTTGGGAGCATCAATGCCTTGCTTAATAGGCTGCTACTCCCAGAGGCTGTTGTTATTTCAAGAGTTAACACAAGAGAATGATGTTAAAGAAAAACTTATTCTGACTCTTGTTAAGGTGGTAAGGAAGACTTTATTCAGGACTATTGCGATAGGGGAGAGAGGTGGGGCTCCATTCTGAATACAGCAGGGACAAGTGGGGATTTATAGCCAAGGAGCAGGGCGAAGGGATTGGTGGTTGGAAAATGGTTGAGATGAGCCATCAAGGGTAGGGGGATTCTTCCTAAAGTGACTTGATGGGGTTCTTGCCCGAGGCAGGCCAAGGTAATCAGATATCAAGGGTGGGCATTCTCTCTAAACCAACTTAGCAGGACTCTTGCTGGAACTAGACTGCAAGAAGGACATGGGAGCCCAAGGTGGGAGCCTAGTCGAGAAGAGGGCTCACAAGAGCCTAAGTAAAGTTTGGTCAAGGAGAGAGTCTTGGTGGTTGGTGAAGGCCAGTGCCTCATCTGCCGTGCTTTTTGTAGCATCTCCTCCAGCTGCTACCACAGGGCCTGGAGAATGGGAGATGCTCAGTATTTTTAAGTATGAATAATGATGTTTTTTCCTGAAAGAGACTTTGGGGTGTGGGAGCCTCCCTGATGTATGTCCATACTTACTTTGGGGCATGGACTCCTCCAGAGCCTTGACCTGGCTGGCCAAGGGGCGCTGCAGGCCTGGGAGTTGGAGGAGGCACTTGCTTACCCAAAGGAGCAGAGGACATTGGTTAGTCCCAAGAGCCTGTGAGAGGCTGAAGGCCATGACTTCAGAGGATGTCTGGAGGGTCACCAAACAATTTGAGCCAGAAATTGCTCCTGAATCTCATGTTTGAGAACCAAAGATGCCAAAGCAAGCACAAGCTTGGTGGGAGGAAGGTGGATCCCGGGGCTGGGAACAGTTGCTGGGAACAGCAGGCTCTGAGGTTCCTGATTTGCTTGAAGTAGTGGCCATGGTGCTGGGTGGGCTGGCTGAGTGGGGGGCTGGGTGGAGCAGGGGGCTGTGGTTGTGGCCTGCCTGAATTCTACCAGGAGAGCCCCAGAATGCTGCGAGTTGCCCCCTCCCTCTCCCCCTCCCTTGCCCTCCCCCTCTGCTTGTATTCTTCAGAGTGGCTGCCCCCACTCTGGCCACCCCAAGTCAGCAGGGTGTCCCAGCCTCTCCTCACTCCTCTCTGGATTTACCCCGAGCAGGACGGCTGCTGGCGGGCCTGGGGCGCTCTCCTGAGTGTCGGCAGGAGCCAGCGGGCTGGGCCTGCCCCATCTCCCCGCTGCTTGGCTTCCGTCCCAGAAGTGCATGGCTCTGGGGCGTCGTCGTTTTCTGTTAAACAGACGGGCACCAGGGAAGCAATGTCAGAACCAGCTAGGTCTGCAAATTCTGGCAGATACAACGGTACCTGAGCCATGCCCTGTGTCCCCCAATTTGTCCTTGTCACTCAGGCCTAGGGACTGGTCCCTGGGGCAGCCGAGGCCTCCCTTCCCAGCTTACCTGCTGACCCCGGCCTCTTTCTCAGCACCCGCTGCTCCATCTCCCACCTGCGACAGGATGGCCTGCTGCTTTCACACGCATGCTGGCCTTGGCTCCCACCTGCACAGGCTCGCCCCGCCCCCAAAGCGCCCGGGTTCTCCTGGATTGTGGGGTGCTGATGGCTGTGCCGAAGGCCAGGGAGGGAGGAGAGTCACGGGGCCAGGCAGGTGAGGCCCAAGCATCTGCATGGTGCTAATAACCACAGGAACAAAGGTAATAATATTTATTGTGACTTATATTGTACCCAGTGCTTCATTAAGATTATATTCTTCAATCCTCAGTGCAATGATATGAGAGGCCTCAGTTTGACTCCTAACACCAGAGTAGTGATCTTGGGCAAGTAATCTAACCACATTTGGCCTCAGTTTCTTCATCTCTAAAATGGGAGCACTAGTATACCTGCCTCACCGGGTGGCCGGAGAACTCAACAGTAAAAAGCATCTACAGGGTGAAGCCCAGTGCCCCGCAGAGTGAGCAGGCGATCGTGGTGGCATTGGCGTCATCACCTTGATTATAGCACTTGTCACATTGTAATATAATGAATGTGTCTGTGTTCCAATAAAACTTCATGGAAGCTGACACTTGAATATAATTTTTACATGTCACAAAATCTTCTTCTTCTGATTTTTTTCAACTATTTTAAAAGTGTCTGAAAACCATTCTCAGCTCACAGGTTGTACAAAAGTGGGTGGCAGGCTGGATTTGGCCTGCAGGTTGGAGTTTGCTGACCTTGGCTTAGACCGTGGGTGGAAGCCTCAGGGAGTCATATGTAAATTCAATATAGGAAGACAATGATTAATTAGCGGTAGCCAGGAATGGAAAGAGCGTCCTCAGTAAGTGATGAGTTTCTTGTCACTAAAGGGCTCAAGTACAGGCTGGGTAATTAACTCCCTGGCAAGGGATGATACAGAAATATGTCTATTGAATATAAGCGATACTAGAATTTTCTCCGAATTCTGCAGGAGCATTGAAATCAGGATGACATGTGCCAGCTTTAAAATTATCCCTGCTCTGTAGAGGGAAGTAAGTTGTAAGTACCACGTGGTACTCACCCAGCCCGGTGTTGCTGGAACGTGGACACTC